ACTCTTTACTTCTTTAGCCCTGTAATTTTCTCTCTTATTATAGACCTTGCCTCAATCTGCTCCCAGTTTCTTCTTTAATTCTCAAACCGTCTTTTCATCTCGTTGTCCTTATCTCCCTCCCCCCGTACTCCTCCTTCCTGTTCTTTCTGTCTCTCTCTTGGGGATGTTTGTTCAGCTTGTCACAGTGCCATCGCTCGAGTGGGATGTCTGTTGCTGAGTGGTCGCCTGTACTGTCCTCCCGCTCTGTTAATCTCCTTTTCACATGCATAGAGCAGGACTTAAAATTTATGCCTGGCATTACATTCATTCGGGTTGTTGTTTTTCATCCCCTTACCGCGCTATTCGTTTTTTGTGTCACATGCATGACAATATATATAATATATATACAACACTCATATTTATATAATTATCATAATAACTTTTTTTGCTCAGCCATTAATTCAGTCATTCCTTTAAAATATTGTCATTCATACTTCACATTTTATCAGGTAATACATTGACTCTTGAAAACAGTTTAAATAAGCTTTTTCGTGTTGCTTTGTGCAGTTCATTATAGAGCTTCATTATAGGCTTTCTTTCCTTTATACATACTTAATTATGATGAATAATAAGGTTATTATTAAGGTTAAGGTTAATAAGGTTTAATACAAAAATTTTAAAATCAAAGCTGACTGCCCCTCCACTTCTCCTTAAGGTTACTATTACAGCTGCTGTAACAGTGACCTTAGTAATGAGTAAACTGAACTAAATGTGTGAAATAGTGGAGAACCCCTTTAATTGCCAGCGAAAATCTAAAAACTATAAATAAGAATGGTATGGGTCTAGAGAAATGAAAAAGTTCACAAGAAACTGGTACAATTGATGAAAATGTCAAACTATGCTGTCACTGCTTTTTTCGTGTTGCCAGATTAGAGAAACTGTGAATGAAAGCAGAAACTAGTTGCTTTCAAATGAGAGTGCATTTCTCACCACCTCATATGGGGGTTTCACTTATGTGCAAGAGTAACACATTACCCATCTGTGAAACATCTTTTCCTTTTGCAAAAGCAAAACACGTGGTTTCTTTGTCATGTAGACATAGCAAATGACTCAGTGGTTATTAGTAAAAACAGCTCATTTTACAAGCAAAATCAGAAGTGATTGTTATCTAGTTGACTTTGGAGACTAAATTTTGAGCTACATCTTATGTAACATTAACTTGCACAGCATTGTCTGTATCCATCAGGTTGCTTAATGCTTTCATTTAGTTTTGGGTTGGTTTTTTTTTTGTTTTTTTTACTTTTAACTGAAAACATTAAGATGAGTAAAGCGCTTGAAGTGTGCTTAAAGTTGGCATGCACTGTAGTTGGTGCATTACAATGTAACTTCTTTGTGGTCAGTCAAGTCCACGCGTTCAGAAAAAAACAACAAAAACAAAGAAAAATTAGCAGCACACCCATATCCATACAGACCCTCACATACTCATCCGATGACAAAATTTCCATCGTTCGGACACAAGTGGACCCTAGCGTACTTACAGATGCAGAAAGTCTATCCAGCTTACTGGAGCCTAACTACTATAGGGTAAGAGGCAGGGTAAACCCTGGACAGATTACAAGGATCACAGAGCTAACATAGAGAGGGACAGACAACCATTCACACCTGTGTGCAATTTAGAATCACCAATTAACCTAACCCCAATAAATAATAATAATGGATTGCATTTATATAGCGCATTTCGAGACCCTCAAAGCACTTTACAATTCCACTATTCATTCACTCTCACATTCACACACTGGTGGAGGCA